AGATGCAATTTTCACAGGATTGGAAGAAGAGTATGATCAAACAAATATACCTGCACCTACTGGGAGGCTACAACAGAATGGAATGGAAGGCATTAGTGTTTCAGAATGCAGCAAGGCCAAAAGCACAATTCATCATGTGGTTGTTGATTCAAGACAGATTAATGACTTGTGACAGGCTAATTAACTGGAAGATCAATGTAGAACCTGAGTGTGTGATGTACAAACAAGAAAATGAAACTAGAGATCATCTATTCTGGCAGTGTCCTTATGCAACTCAAGTGTGGAACAAGATGTGCAGATGGCTTGGAAGGCAGCATCTGGAAATGGCAACTGGCAACAGTTTCTTCAATGGACCATAAGGCAAGCAAAAGGAAAATCCACTTATGCAATGACATTCAGAATGATATTTGCAGAAACTGTGTACCATTTATGGCTTGAAAGAAACAGAAGAGTATTTGAGAAGAAGAGCAGAAAAGAGGAGCAAATTACAAGAGATATAGCATATGTAGTTAGTGCTAGAGCTACTCCTAGAATCAGGCAATATGTATACAGTTTATGTTTCTAGGAAGGAAGATAGTATAGGAAGTAATCAAAAGACCAGCAAGCTGTGTTAGCTATGCTTTGCTTTGTAAATACTTTTGGTGATTAATATAAAAGAATTTAATTACCAAAAAAAAAAAAAACTAGTGTATCACAATTAAAAAAAAATAAAGTATTACTTGTAAGCTTCAAATATAATTAAAAAATAAAGGAATTATATCTAATTAATGTGTGAATTGTATATAGTAGAACTTAAACTACTATAAGCTTGTACCAATTATATTGTATAGTAAATTATATATATTTAATCTAGACAATAAATTACTTTATAATGATTTGGTATTTTACTATTTTAATAACTTATTGATGATCATAAANGTTATCCAGGAGAGCTGCTGACATATAGATTGGCACATGAGCTAGTGAAGGCATATACCAGGAAGAACCTGTCTCCTAGAGTTATGATCAAGATAGATCTCCAAAAAGCATATGACTCTGTGGAGTGGAGCTTCATGAAGCAAGTGATGGAGGAGCTAGGATTCCCACAATTATTCACAGGATGGGTCATGGAATGTGTGCAGACAGTTAACTATTCTATAGTAGTTAATGGTGAACCGACAAGACCTTTCAATGCTGCAAAAGGGCTAAGGCAAAGTGACCCTATGTCACCTTTTCTGTTTGTTATTGCCATGGAGTATTTAAGCAGGAACTTAGCTAGCTTGAAAGAGGAGAAGGACTTCAAATTCCACCCTAGGTGTGCTAAACTAGGGATAACTCACTTGAGCTTTGCAGATGACCTCCTCTTGTTTACTAGAGGTGACTTGAAATCTGTCCAAACTATGCAGAAGAAGTTTACTCAATTCACTGAAGAATCTGGGCTGCAAGCAAATCTAAGCAAAAGTGAAGCATACTTTGGAGGAGTTCAGGAAACAGAAAGGCAGCAAATTCTGCAGTGCTTAGGGTTCACAAGTGGAGAACTCCCATTTAAGTATTTAGGAGTTCCTCTAGCTACAAAGAAGCTGAGTCTAATGCAATGGCAGCCATTGATTGAGAAAATGACTAGGAAAATTACCTCTTGGATAGCTAAAAACCTTTCTTATGCAGGTAGAATGCAGCTGGTGCAGAGTGTCCTATTTGGGGTGCAGGCATTTTGGGCACAGATATTTATCCTTCCAGCAAAGGTGACTAAACTAGTAGAAGGACTATACAGATCATATGTGTTGGTCTGGGGCAAATGAGATCACAAAAAGGGCTTTGGTAGCATGGGATAAGGTATGCTTGCCAAAGGCAGGTGGTGGACTCAACTTAATCAACTTAAAGCTATGGAACAAAGCAGCTATTGCAAAGACAAGCTGGGATCTAGCTCACAAGCAGGACAAGCTATGGATAAAATGGATACATGCTTATTATATCAAGAAACAGCAACTCAAGACAATGGCAATGTCACGACCCAAAATCCATTAAGGGTCGTGGTGGCGCCGGACACCTCTGTCAGGCCAGCCAACTAGATTATCAATTAATTCCTCTTTTAATACTTTTGAAAATCTAAGGTTTTTCCTTCCATTTTCATAAATAAAAGTTCACTACTTGAATTCAAATTTAAATAATAACAATTAGTACAAATCCGTTGAAACTCATCCCAGAAACCCGGTGTCACAAGTACATGAGCAACTATCGATAAGGAAAGTAAAATACAACATCTGTCCGAAATACAGTGGACAGGGAATAAATAATAAAATGCTGAAAGGAACTACACTGGCTGCGGGTCGTCTCGAACAATGCAGCTCACCTAGTCCCAGAGTCGTCCGTGCTGCTACGCCCAATAGGCTACTAGAGGTATATATACCTGTGCAACAAAAATGCACAGAAGTGTAGTATGAGTACGTAATCAACGTATACTCAGTATCCCGCCTAATCCCGAAGGGGTAGAGACAAGATGGGCAACTCCGACACTCACTAGAGGTAAATTAGCAATGTTCTATAAGTGCGAGGAAAATCATGGATTTGTATAGAAGTTCTGATTGTGAAGCCAGAAAAACAGGTAAACACCTTCAACAATAAATCCAGGGCTTCTAAAGTTTGTTCTTTATTATCTTATCAGTTTATATCAAGCCACGTAGGGCCAATTCCACATTTACAATTTCAAGTAACAGATAAACACGCGCAAATCATGCCGAGGTCGACGGCCCGCTCCAACAGAAATGTAAATTGTGCACTGCCGAGGGTCGAGCGGCACGAACCATAGATGCATCTATTCTCACCGAGGCGTTCGGCCCGTTCCATAAATAAACACATATCCTGCTCGCGAATCATCCATGCGACGCAGGCATACATAAAATACATGCTCAATCAGTCAAATAAGAACTTATCGGGGGAATATTTATTCAAATAAAACCAATTCTCCTTTAATAATTTAAGAAAATGAAGTTTAATCCTTTTAGAAATTTAGTTACTAATTCGATGTGAGTTGAACAATTCGAGCTATCAATGGGTTCACAATTAATCCACGTGCAACATGCTTTTGGGTCCTAACTACCCGGACAATAGCATAATAGTAGCTACGCACGGACTCTCGTCACCTCGTGCGTACGTAGCCCCCACAAATAGGAGCACATAATCAATTACTTCACCTATGGGGTAAATTCCCCCTCACAAGATTAGAAAGGAGACTCACCTCGCTCCGAAGACTCAAAACCGGCATTCTACATTCTTCCAAGGACTCCAATTGATGCACCACGCTCCAAGACTAGCCAATGGTTATGCAAATCCATTAATATATGCTCAAATATTCATTACAACTAATTTATAGCAATTCCTAACCCCGATTGGAAAGTTGACCAAAACGCCCTCGGGCCCACGTGCCCGGAATCCAAAACTTTTCGAAGATAAAGTTTACCCATAACCTTAGGAACTCGAATATATAATTTTCTCTTAATTCCATACTCAAAATCGTAATCAAAATCTAAGATTTCTAATTTCCTAGGTTTTCAACCAAAACCCCAAATTTACACTAATCTTCATACTTAAATCCATACATAATTGATATATTTAACACAAAAGTGATGGGGATAACTTACCTTGACATTGACGACGAAAATCCCCTCATTGAAGCTGTCCAAAATCGCCCCAAGCCATGAGAAATATGAGAGAAATGGCCAATCCCCGACTTTAAATTAACTTTCTGCCTCCAGGGATTTTCGCTTCTGCAGAACTAATCCTGCTTCCGCGGTCCCGCTTTTGCGGAAAATATTTCGCTTCTGCGGTCCCTGGGCTCAAGCCCATTTTCGCTTCTGTGATGAGCCAACCGCTTCTGCGGTTCCGCATCAGCGGATCAAGGGCCGCTTTTGCGGTCCTGGCTGCCCTCGCCCTCGTCCGCTTCTGCGGCTTCTTCTTCGCTTCTGCGGGGCCGCTTCTGCGGTCCCATTTCCGCAGAAGCGGAAGTACTAGATACCAGCTGCCTCAGCACTTCTTCAAACTCCGGATTCGATCCGTTAGCCACCCGGAATCCACCCGAGGCCCCCGGGACCCCAACCAATCATACCAACCAGTCCCAAAATACATTGCGGACTTGCTCGAGGCCTCAAATCATAACAAACAACGCTAAAACCATGAATTACATCCCGATTCAAGCTTTATGAACTTTGAACTTTCCAACTTCTATTTCCGATGTTTAAACCTATCAAATCACGTCCGATTGACCTCAAATTTTGCACACTAATCATATTTGACATTACAGACCTACTCCAACTTTCGGAATTGGATTCCGACCCCGATATCAATAAGTCAACCTCCGGTCAAACTTCCCAAAAACCTTCAAATTTCTATCTTTAGCCAAATGGCTTCAAAATGACCTACGGACCTCCGAATTCACTTCCGATTGCGCCCCCAACTCCAGAATCACCATACGAAACTATTCCTTGTCTTGGAATTCCAAACGGACATCGATAACTCTAAAATGCACTTCGAACCAAACTTATGAAATTCCTTCTAAAATGCTAACTTCCACAATAGGCGCCAAAACGCTCCCGGGTTATCCAAAACCCGAACCGGGCATACGGCAATGTCCGAAATCATCATACGAACCTGCTGGAACCTTCAGATCCTGATTCCGAGATCGTTTACTCAAAATTCCAATCTTAGTTCATTCTCCCAACTTTAAGCTTCCGAAATAAGAATTCTCTTCCCAAATCAACTCTGGACTTCCCGAAATTCAATTCCGACCACGCGTACAAGTCATAATACCTGAAATAAAGCTGTTCATGACCTCTGACTGCTGAACGGAGCGCTAGTAGTCAAAACGACCGGTCGGGTCGTTACAGGCAATTCCTCAACAAGCATGCTGGATGGTAAGGAAAGTGATTGAGTCATATAGTATAATTGAAGAGATGCAATTTTCACAGGATTGGAAGAAGAGTATGATCAAACAAATATACCTGCACCTACTGGGAGACTACAGCAGAATGGAATGGAAGGCACTAGTGTTTCAGAATGCAGCAAGGCCAAAAGCACAATTCATCATGTGGCTGTTGATCCAAGACAGATTAATGACTTGTGACAGGCTAATTAACTGGAAGATCAATGTAGAACCTGAGTGTGTGATGTGTAAACAAGAAAATGAAACTAGAGATTATCTATTCTGGCAGTGTCCTTATGCAACTCAAGTGTGGAACAAGATGTGCAGATGGCTTGGAAGGCAGCAACTGGGAAATGGCAACTGGCAACAGTTTCTTCAATGGACCATAAGGCAAGCAAAAGGAAAATCCACTTATGCAATGACATTCAGAATGATATTTGCAGAAACTGTGTACCATTTATGGCTTGAAAGAAACAGAAGAGTATTTGAGAAGAAGAGCAGAAAAGAGGAGCAAATTACAAGAGATATAGCATATGTAGTTAGTGCTAGAGCTACTCCTAGAATCAGGCAATATGTATACAGTTTATGTTTCTAGGAAGGAAGATAGTAAGGAAGTAATCAAAAGACCAGCAAGAACACTAACAACCAACAGAGTNAATCAAAAGACAAGCAAGCTGTGTTAGCTATGCTTTGCTTTGTAAATACTTTTGGTGATTAATATAAAAGAATTTAATTACCAAAAAAAAAAAAAACTAGTGTATCACAATTAAAAAAAAATAAAGTATTACTTGTAAGCTTCAAATATAATTAAAAAATAAAGGAATTATATCTAATTAATGTGTGAATTGTATATAGTAGAACTTAAACTACTATAAGCTTGTACCAATTATATTGTATAGTAAATTATATATATTTAATCTAGACAATAAATTACTTTATAATGATTTGGTATTTTACTATTTTAATAACTTATTGATGATCATAAATCAAATTATACATCAAATCTAAGAATTGAGAATTTAATATGATTCGGAAGGGGATCATGTCTCTCTTGTGACTAGTATTTATTTTTTGTATATAATTTTGATATTATTAATTTTCTTTGAAAAGGTAAAGAATTCAATATCATTGATATAAGAGCGTAAAACAAAACTAACTAGTATATTACAATTCAATAATTACTTGTGAGTTTCAAATATAATCAAATAAGTATGCAATAAAATTTAATTAAATTTTAATATATGAATGTAGCAGGCTTTAAAAGCTATATGCTTGTATTTGTATGTATCTACGTTGACCACTAATTATATTCATTTTAAATAAGTTTAAAAGTTATTGATTTAATGGTTTAATACTATTTTAATAATTTAATAATTATCATTAATATAATTAAAAAAACTAAAAATTAAGTAGCTAATATAATTGAAATATGAGGATATAACAAATCTAAAAAAAATCACATAGGACAGCAAAAATTGTAAAATATTTTTTAATGCAAAAGTTGTTTTTTGCTATCTTACTTAATGTAAATTTTATATATATATATATATATATATATATATATATATATATATATATATATATATATATATATATATATATATATATATATATTGCGTAGGTAATTTTCTTACACATATTTGTTTTGCTATTTAATTTATTTGCTTTGTAGATTTGCCTACATCACCGAAAAAGTAGTACTTTGTATTTTGATTTAAGTAAGAAATTTAAAAAAAAAAAACAACAACAATAATCTATCTATATAGAGTAGGAGAAGCAAAACCACTACATTAAGACAAGTGTCTTAACCACAAAAAGCCAAGTGGCATTTTTAAGACAAAATAAACTACTTTTCTAACTAACTTTTTATTGAATTTTAAATTTTGAATTAATTGGTTACACTACTTGAATTAATAAATATAGATATCTTAATTATCAATAAAAAACGAAAATACAAAAAAATATTCTACTCATTCAAATTGGAGTTTTAAAATTATTT